CCTTCCTCTTATCTATTAAATCTTCTCCTCCTTCTCACAGTCTCTGTTGTTATGAGTTAATCTCTGAATTTCTCGTATGAATCCCTTCAAAACCTTTCTCACTCAGCTACCTGCCCAGTCTGTGCCGAATCTAATCTTCCCTCTGCAGAACAGTCTGAGTGATTTTTATGAGATGGAAATCTAGTGCGTTACCGCTAGGTTTAAAGCCTGCCCAGGTCTCATGTATTATCTTTTAATTCTATTTTTTCCATGAATTTTTTGAAGTACCTTCATATACTTTATACAGAGTTTGCTTGTTTTTATTATCATTATGAAGTCACATTATATATTAGTGTGTCTCATTTCATTGCAATTATTATTTGGTGCTCAAATTGTCCCATATTAGGGTAGTGGTAACCATTTCAGGCTGTCTCTTTGTCCTATTGACATGACCTGTCATTTACAAAGAATTTCCTTACTTTCTAGTACAAGATGTTGTGGGCTCACCTTGGTATATTTCCTGTCCTAGAATAGGAATCAACCTTTCTCCAAGGAGCCTTGGCTTCTTTGAATGGCAGATAGTCTTTAGAGACCATAATCCAGGTGAGGCCCTTTTGTTCTTGAACTCATGACCTGTCTCTTTTCCTTTCATCCCTCCTACCCTCCGTCCAGCAAGGAAAAAAAAATTCATTTCTTTTTTTTCAGATTTTTAAAATTATTTTTTTTTCCTTTTTTTTTTTTTTTTTTTTTTTTGTCTCTTTTTTACTGACTGGCAACAGGATCGCAACCCTCGGTGTCGCGCCCATACCAGGGACCGGCAACGGGATCGCAACACTCGGTGTTTCGCCTGCACCTCGCTCAACCGGTGAGCAGGAACCGGTCTTCACATGGGATCCGAACCCTCGGCGGGAGCGCCGCCGCGCTCCCAAGCAGCGCACTCTCCAGTGCGCCACCGGGCCGGCCCTAAAATTATTTTTTAATTTACACATAATAATTGTACATATTTATGGGGTACAGAATGATATTTTGATGCCATGTGAGATGATCAAATCAGGGTGATTAGCATATCTATATTTCTTATTCTTCCTTTTGTTGACCCCAGATATTTTTTCTCTGCTTAAGACTGATAAATCTCCCCAATGGCCTATGGTTTTGGAATAATGATAGTTAAAACTGATGGGCTGCTAGGCGCTCCGTGGGAGTTAGCTAGGAAAGAAAGGGAGGGCATGGAGCCGTAAGGGAACTTGCAGTGAGAGGGTCACACAGGCTTCACATAGGCAGTCAGGATCTGGACCCTAAAGCCAAAACTCCTAACCCTAGTGCCATTCTGAGCCGTAACTGGAGCCCAGGGTAAAAGGACACATCAACACATCGTGCGCGCTCCTATATACCCTTAGCGAAGTATCTTCCCACAGTTTGAACCAAGTAGAAAAAGTTAATAAAGTTCTGAAAACACTCACCAGAAAGCCCCCGATCCCCCATGACTGTCCAGAAAGCCCTCTTTGTGCCATATGTTTGCACACTGTGGACAGTCACGCTGTGCACCTGCGTTAGCTCCCCCAGCTGAGAATGCACACCGTGGGCTGATTGGAAACTGCAGCTGCGGTTGCACAATAGATGCAGGGTCACAAAACAAACAAACAACGCAGGCTGTCTTTGTTTAAAACTTGGAAATTTTTTTCACCTGGGATTTTTGGCATTAATTTGGATTCTTTAAAATATTGTATTAAAATATTACTTATCTTGATGACTGAGTTTTTTGGGGTGCCCTCCTCCTCCTTACATCTTGTGCCCTCCAAGGTAAATGAGATACTGCACAACCACTGCCTTCTCTGGGTGGCCACTTGAAGGAGGAGCACAGAGCTGATCATCTGCCTCAGTGGGTGGAAGGCAGGAAAAGGGAGTGTGGTGACAGCCAGATGTGTGTGGGGAAGCTATCTGTTAATAGCATCTCTGTAAGTGATATTAAAAATTTCTAACAAGTGGCATGTCCTGGTCACTGACCAATCAGAATGGATAGAGGCTGCAGCCTTGCAGCAGGGCTGGGCTTTAACCATTTGGTTGCTGGATCATGGGAAAGTCCAGGGGGTTCTGGAGGGAAATGGCAGGGTGGCAAGTGACCAATCAGCATTTCGATATTTTAATAAATGGTGTGGGGCTGGCCTGTTACCTCAGTTGGTTAGAGCACAGTGTAGGTAACACCAAGGTCAAGGGTTTGGATCCTTGTGCCAAAATAAATAAGCAAGTAAGTAAATAAATAAATGGCGTGACACCCCAGCTGACTGTCAGCCTTCACATCTGCATTTCCCAGGATAAGCTTGAGTGCAAAAAGTCACTTGAGTGACAGGCTCCCCTGGCACGTGTCTCCAGACTCATCCTCTCCCTGCCTCTCTGATTCCACTTAGGATCCCGTGGACAGTAGCACCAATGATTACTCCAACTATGATTCCATAACCCTGGATCCCAGCACTCCTGTGGATAATGTTTCCAACACACTGCACATTCCCGATGTCCTGGCCTTGATCATCTTTACAGTTGTCTTCCTGGTGGGAGTGCCGGGCAACACCCTGGTGGTCTGGGTGACGGCATTCGAGGCCAGGCGAACAATCAATGCCATCTGGTTTCTCAACCTGGCGGTGGCCGACCTCCTCTCCTGCCTGGCACTGCCCATCTTATTTGTATCCATTGTCCAGCACGGCCACTGGCCCTTTGGTGTGGCTGCCTGCCACATCCTGCCCTCCTTAATCCTGCTCAACATGTATGCCAGCATCCTGCTGCTGGCCACCATCAGTGCTGACCGCTTTGTGCTGGTGTTCAATCCCATCTGGTGCCAGAACTTCCGAGGGGCTGGCTTGGCCTGGGTGGCCTGTGGCGTGGCCTGGGCCTTGGCCCTGCTGCTGACCATACCCTCCTTCCTATATCGTGCGGTGCATGAAGAGCACTTCCCACCCGGCGTGTTCTGTGGCGTTGACTATGGTAAAAACGGTCAGCGCAGGGAGAAAGCCGTGGCCATCGTCCGGCTGATCGTGGGCTTTCTGTGGCCGCTGCTCACCCTCACCATCTGTTACACCTTCCTTCTGCTCCGGACATGGAGCCGCAGGGCCACGCGGTCCACCAAGACACTCAAGGTGGTGGTGGCAGTGGTGACTAGCTTCTTTATCTTCTGGCTGCCCTACCAGGTGACAGGGATGATGCTGGCCTTGCTCCAGCCGTCCTCAGACATCTTCCAACAGGTGAGCAAGTTGGACCCTCTGTGCGTCTCCATCGCCTACATCAACTGCTGCATCAACCCCGTCATCTACGTGGTTGCGGGCCAGGGCTTCCAGGGCCGGCTCCGCAGGTCCCTCCCCGGCCTGCTCCGGAACGTGCTGACGGAGGAGTCCGCGGTCAGGGAGAGCAAGTCTTTCACACGCTCGACGGTGGACACGTCGGCTGAGAAGAGCCAAACGGTGTGAGGGGAGGCGTCCCAGGTCACCATCCGCCTGAGGCTCTTCCCCGGTGGTCACCCTCTTTCTACTGATTTCAACTCAGCTCTTGGTGAGGTGGCGTTGTCTTGGTGACCTCTGCTTCCTTCCTTCTCTTTCCCAGACTTGTCCCTCCTCTTCCAAACTAACTCTTCTCATCCTACTCATCCTTCCTCATTTCCAACATTAACGCTTCCTTCTGGGGACACCAAGCCTGTCTTTCCATCCAAGTCTTTTGAAACACAAACTGAAACCGATGTACCTGGGAACCTCCATACAGCAACGCTCGTGCGTGTAGCGTTCATCAGAACATATCGAATACACACAAATAGAAACGTTCTCACTTTCTAAAAAATAGGCACGTATTTATTTTATGGAGAGTTGGGAAAAAATTGTCACCGGCACCTCAAGTTATTCTTGCTTAGGAGGATAGAGCAAAAGTCCATAGATCTAGCTAAGCCGTTGTGAGTTGATTTAAAGAAATACATTCAGTTAAAATGTTACTTAATTGGGTTTTTAGAAAAAGTGTTAAGTAAGCAGATGTTATTTGGTCATGGTAAAAAGTGTGCGGAAGGCACGCCTACAATGATCCGGGTTGGGGAACATTGGCCGGGCAGAGGCACATCCAGCAGTGGCTTCCTGGTATGGGGACATGGGAGAACTTGACTTTTTTACTTTGAAAACTGCTTTGTTTATGCTTTTTAAAAAATTAGGGCTGGCCTGGTGGCGCACTCGGTAGAGTGCGGCGCTTGCGTGCACGGTGGCGCTCCCGCCGAGGGTTCGGAGCGCGGTGCGGGCGCAACACCGAGGGTTGCGATTCCGTTGCCGGTCACGAAAAAGGACAAAAAGGGAAAGAAAAAAAAAAATTAGACTTTTTATTTTGAGATCATTGCAAACACAATGCAACAATTAATTAATTAATTAATAATTAAATAAATGTAAGAAATAAATACAGAGGTATCCTTAGTACCCTGTACCCAGTTCCCCACAATGGTAACATCCTGCAAAGGAAAGTTAGTCTCACAACAGTCAAGATACAGAACATTCCCATCACCACAAGGACCCCTCTGGATGCCCTTCTATGGCCATGCCCGCTTCCCTCTGCCCTCTCCAGCCTTCTCCTTAACCCCTGGCAGCAGGACACCACACTTCATGTCTTTAACATCCTTTCAAGAATGTTATTTAATGAAATCACCCAGTATGTAAACTTTTGAGCTTTTTAAAAATGAGTATGCATGACTTTAATGAAGAAAATAAACAATAATAAATATTGAAATGTTGTGTTATTTATAAGGCATAATTGACTTCACACTATTTCTGCTTAGTGTTGATTTTAAAAAATTAGGGCCCACCCGGTGGCACACTCGGTAGAGTGCGGCGCTTGGGTGCAAGGTGGCGCTCCTGCCGAGGGTTCAGAGCGCGGTGCGGGCGCGACACCGAGGGTTGCGATCCCGTTGCCGGTCACGAAAAAGGACAAAAAGGGAAAGAAAAAAAAAATTAGACTTTTTATTTTGAGATCATTGCAAACACAATGCAACAATTAATTAATTAATTAATAATTAAATAAATGTAAGAAATAAATACAGAGGTATCCTTAGTACCCTGTACCCAGTTCCCCACAATGGTAACATCCTGCAAAGGAAAGTTAGTCTCACAACAGTCAAGATACAGAACATTCCCATCACCACAAGGACCCCTCTGGATGCCCTTCTATGGCCATGCCCGCTTCCCTCTGCCCTCTCCAGCCTTCTCCTTAACCCCTGGCAGCAGGACACCACACTTCATGTCTTTAACATCCTTTCAAGAATGTTATTTAATGAAATCACCCAGTATGTAAACTTTTGAGCTTTTTAAAAATGAGTATGCATGACTTTAATGAAGAAAATAAACAATAATAAATATTGAAATGTTGTGTTATTTATAAGGCATAATTGACTTCACACTATTTCTGCTTAGTGTTGTGTGTGTGTGTGGATTGGCTAGAAATATTGTACAGACCAACTCTGTGCAACAGAGTTATGATGAGTCGCATATGTAGTTTCAAATTTTCTAGTAGCCACATTAAAAAAGTAAAAAGAAGGGCCGGCCCGGTGGCGCACTGGATAGTGCGCCGCTTGGGAAGCGCGGCGGCGCTCCCGCCCGAGGGTTCGGATCCCACATACAGACCGGTTCCCGCTCG